TGTTTAAACGCTGCTTGATCTGTGCAGATTTCTCTCCTGATTCAGACCAGAACACTTCTTCACTGGAGGAAGCGTTATTGTGGATTATTACTATTTTGAATTAGGCTTCAATATTATATTTTCATTTTTCATTTTTATATTTTCAGTTGTAGTTTTTTTCCCTCCCAATTTCAATATTTTTCTTAGTTGTTTTTGATATATATATATATATATATGTGTGTGTGTGTGTGTGTGTGTGTGTGTAAAACAACTAAGAAAAAAAATTATCTTAAATTAATGTTTATTTTTTTTTATTTTTTTTAGTTTAGTTTTATTAATGTTAGTGCTTAAACTTATTTCAGTTGCCAAGTCAGCATTGCTAATTTTCATTTTATTTAATTTTTAAAAATCAAGTTTTTTTTTTAAGTTTAATACTTTTATTTTATTTTTATTTTATTAATATTTAGATTTTATTTTGATTTCATCATATTTTGTTTATTTTTAGTTTTAGTCATTTTAGTCATTTAAAATAAAACATATTTATTTCAGTCAGCATTTCTAATTTTCATTTAAGTGTATTAAGTTTAAGTTCTTCATATAATATTTATATTTTATTTTATTTCAGCTTTTTCTTATGAACAAAAACGGTTTTAGGTAACAATAACATCACCAATTAGAGCACAACAGTCATTTCCTGAAGTTAAAATTCCACTAACAGTCACCATAAGAATTTTATATTATGGATTATGGACTCGTATTTTAGTTAAAAACGTCTTGATGGATTTGTTTCTTCTCCAGATGTTAATTGATGGACTGGAGTGCTGTGGATTATTATGATGTTTTTATCAGCTGTTTGGACTCTCATTCTGACGGCACCCATTCACTGCAGAGCATCCATTGCTGAGACACTGATGCAATGACACATTTCTCCAAATCTGATGAAGAAATGTGATTAATTTGTCAGACAAGCTGATTTCTTTATCTTCGGGTGTTTTAGAGCATGGTGAGGTGATATCGTCTTGTCTATGAACTCAGATGGTTTCTATATTCTCTGTAATTTCCCATGTCTCTCTCCATCACAGCTCGGGGAGGCTGTTGCCATGGCGCTCACAGACATCACCAGGGAAACCAGATCTTCACAAGCCAGTGAGACTCAGTGAGAGAATGTAGATAGAGTGTGGTAATGTAACTTATGTAGTATAGAGACAGCCCCACATCTGACTGAACTACATCTAAAACACTTCTGTTCTGACTTCTGCTTTTGATACTGAGATTCATGGAAGCCTGGCTCTGCCACAGAATAATAATTAAAAAAATAAAAAATTTTAATCTCACAGTTCAGACTTTGTCGCAATTCTGAGAAAAAAAAATCTGCGAGATGTACACTTTTTTTCTTGCATTTCCAAGTTTAAATCTCACAATTGTTTTATTATTATTGTTATTTTTTTTACCAGAATAAAAAATGTAAAATAGGTAATTGTGACTTTTTATCCCACAATTTCTGAGAATTTTTAGTTTTTGTCAAAAAAGTTCAAATTGTGAGAATTTTTTTAAATTTTTATCCTGTGGCAGAAATGGGCCTCCATAGAGATTTGCCTGTAAGAGGAAAGCTGAAGCAGGCTTTATTGTATTAAAATCCTGAACTTTTCCCTGAAATGTTCTTTAATTAATTTTTCTTTGAAACAATGTACGGTGACAAGAACTATTCAAATAAAATTGACTACTTACAATGATCTTTCATCAGTGTGTCCCAGATTGACTGTGTTTTCTGCTCTTAGTGTTTCTGCAGTATATAGTACAGTATACACTGAGCATCCCATAATACAAAGTGCTTGACTTGACCCTTCATTTATTACCACTAAAGTGGAAATGAAATATATTTATAAAGTATACTTTAAAAAGATTAATATAGACTATAGTTAGTGTATTTTGTTTGTTGCAAAATTGGATAAAAAAATGCAAAAAAAGTTTATTATTACACATTGATGGCCAATATTAATGATTACATTCAAAGATTGTGTATCTTTATAGTTTAATAATATTTAATATTGTTGCACTAAGAGTTTTTAACAGCACTTAAGCTATTATTAATATTCAAGCTATTATTTTTTTTATTTTGCAAAAATGAGCTCTACCCATTACGTGTTGAACAGTGAGCTTTTGAAGCATTATGTGTTTGTAATTATATTAATGCAACATATGTAATGACTATAACAGAAAAGGGGCAAACATGCAAAATAAACAAATGAAAAAATAAATGAAAATAAAATAAATTCTATAATTTAAAAAACGTATGATAATAATAATAATAAAGTAATGAAAACATTAAGCAAACTAAACCGTATCAATAGAATCATTACAAAAAAAAAAATCTAATTTTGTTTCAAGAATCTGTCACTTACTAGTTTAATTACTAGTTAAATTAAACAAAAAGATTTGAGAAGTGAGTCTACCTCAGTCAAAAAAGTTTGAGAGAGCAGGAAGTGAGCATACAAAATTGTGGATATATTCCCTAGACTTTTTAGAAGTGTCAGTAACAAATAATATCTTTAAATTAAAACATTGAAAAAATTGGCATGTTAAACCAAAACGCTGAGAAAGATGCCAGTGGGCGGTGCTTAGGCGAACGCGGTGACGTATGTCGCGTGCGTCCTCCAATGAATTGTCGCGCCGAACGCGCAAAATTTGAATTCATCAGGAAGCGTTAAACGTTTCCACACAGAAGTCTGTCAGTGATGTTGATGTTCATCTAAACGCGATTAATCTACAATAATTCTCATTTACTGCTCCAGATATTCTCACATGAGCATTAGGTGAGCATATATCTAATCTTCTTTCAAACTGAGCTGAATGTGTTTGTTTAACGCGACCGTTATGAGCTCAACGGTAAATAACGAGGGAAACTGTCAAACTGAAACATTTCTGCTATAACATTGTCAATAACGTCAATTAATCTCATTATGAGTGATTTCAGAAGCGATGACAATTTATTTTCAATAAATATTAAGCCTGTTTGTATAATGAGTTGGGTAATTTGCTCTGTCATGGTCAAATGTTTACAGTTTGACGAGTGTCAGTTAACGTTAATCAGTTTAACAGATTCACCTCACAAATACATTTAAAGTTTATGGTTTGCTATTAATAGTTTATTTTATTTGATGAATTTGTTCTGATACTCCTTATAAATATTCCTGTCGTGTGACAAATTAATTTTTAAAATACAATATGAGCTCAACGGTAAATAACGAGGGAAACTGTCAAACTGAAACATTTCTGCTATAACATTGTCAATAACGTCAATTAATCTCATTATGAGTGATTTCAGAAGCGATGACAATTTATTTTCAATAAATATTAAGCCTGTTTGTATAATGAGTTGGGTAATTTGCTCTGTCATGGTCAAATGTTTACAGTTTGACGAGTGTCAGTTAACGTTAATCAGTTTAACAGATTCACCTCACAAATACATTTAAAGTTTATGGTTTGCTATTAATAGTTTATTTTATTTGATGAATTTGTTCTGATACTCCTTATAAATATTCCTGTCGTGTGACAAATTAATTTTTAAAATACAATTTTTTTTAAATTTGGCTTTTTAGTTAATATGTAACTGTGTGTACAAGACGTTTTGTTTAAAATGATTTTACACGAACTATAAAAATGTCACTGCTTTACATGTCAACTACTGTATACAGATATGTGTTGATATGTTGTATTATATAATTAAGCTTTTAGATATTTGAGCTTTTAACACTTTAGATACCTGCATTATGATTATAGTGCTAATACAGCAACAAGTGTTTAAAAACAACTGTACAACTGTAGCCTGTATTATCATTGCAGCACTGATAAAGTGTCTTAAATCCTATGTTTGGGCATCATAGGCATATTCCCATAATTGCTGTCTGGATAGGCAGCTGACTTGTATTTGACATGCGTGTTGTATTGACTGTATTGCTCATGTTTGTCCTGCAGTGATGTTGAAGTTTAAATATGGAGGCCACGTCAGTGTTAAAGATCTGTCTGCTGTGGACTCCATCACCAGCCGCTGCGCTCGACTCAATCAGCTGCTGCAGGTGAGCTCTCATCACCGCTTTAGTGTGTCTGAGGCTTCAGATCATCTGTATAATAGCATACCACTAAAATATGGTAGAATAACATTAGCAGATATACACATTTAGAAGGACACACGAATGAGGTCCAATTAAAGCTAGTACTCCTTTACAGCAATCGTTTTTTGTCAGACTGTGGCTAATATTGGCGAGCATTTAGCAATATTTCTTATGCAAATGTCCTGTTTCAGTGGAAGATACATCAGCACGTAAAAGAAACCTGTGCCTCATCATTTTGTGGGTCTTAATTGAGTCTTAAGTGAGTCGTTCACGATCACAGCTGGTCTTGCCATGCGTTTGGTGTCTATATCTGAATTTGAAGCTGTTATTATTATTGCATTGCTGTGAAACGTGGCACGGCCCTGCTTCTTAAAGGGAAAAAATCTGCTGATTTGGCTTAATATTACCTAATTTGATGATGACTGTGTGTTTAAATATCAATAAAAATTACCATGGCATACAGTTTATTCGATTAAATTTTTTCAGTTTTTTTCTATTAAGGTTTTTCACCTTCTTCACTTATACAAGAAAGCATTTGTCTAACTACTTTTAAATCAAGTCTTAAAACGTATCTATCTATAAATGAGCTTTTTATGATCAGTCTTAATAAACGGGGTTAACTTGAAGAGCAGTGAATGGGAGAGTACCACAAATATATTTTTTTGCATTCCCATTTGCTCAAATAGCAAAATAAAAACTCCACGATAGTGTTTTCATGACTTTCAATAAAAGAAAAAAACCGAGAACGATGTCAAATTTACCAACCTTCCCATAGACGCTGCATTAGGAACACCCTCGCGTTAGCGTTAACTAGTTTTTTTGTAATTTGATGCAAATATAATACAATACAAAGAATAGTGTTATAAATGTACATACATTAAAAAAAACAAATATGAAAAACTTGAGGATTTACGATGCTGATGACCGTTAAACGCTTCATCACAGTCTTGTGAAAAGGGTCCATTATTATTATTTTCAATTATATGCACTTATAAAATTTAATGCACTTATTTAATGACAAAGAAGTATTCAAAATGCATCATTTAATTTACAATCTGCAAAGGAGTGGCAAAAGTGTAAATCAGGATAATGCCTTGAATCATTCATGCATGTGAAAAAGGGCTGAGAATTGAACAAATAGCTGTAATATGGCTCAGATTCAGACAGGAATCACATCTTTGTGGTGTTTTTTCGCTGATTAAGAGAGAATCCGAGACTACTTCTCCAGGTTGAAAGCAAAAATGCTATAAAATGCATTACATTTTGTGAGAAAATATTGACATGCTCCCGCAAAACATACTCTATTTCTATATAAATTTTGTGTTGTAAAATGAATGTTTGTGGTTTTTCAGGGAAAGTGCAGCGCGTCGGGCGTTTCCAGAGAAACTCTGATTGATGCTTTTCTGCTGCTCTATCAAGAGTGCGCCACACCAGAGCTCATGAAGATCAAACATGTGGCCAACTTTGTCAATAAATGTAAGCGCCTTAATATGGAATCAGTCAAATAGCCATTTAGTCTGTGTTTTCGTTGTATTGTGACCATTTGTGTGTGTCAGATTCTGAATTAGTGGCTGAAGTTCAGGAGCTGCTTCCTGGGAAGAAGGATTTTGAGGTGAGGGGCATCGTGGGAAGGGGACACTTCTCCGAGGTGCAGGTGGTGAAGGAGAAAGCTACAGGAGATGTGTACGCCATGAAGATCATGGACAAAACCAGCCTGCGTTCACAGGACAATGTGAGTCTCCTCCAAATCTGAAGTGTTACGCTGCATCCTAACCAAGAGTGATGTGGTGCAAACCTTGTTTTGCTCCCCAAAAAAACAACATAAATCATATATCAACTCAACAATCTGGACTAGTTTGTCAATTCATTTAGTTTGCTTAAAGGGGACCTATTATGCCTCTTTTTACAAGATGTAAAATGAGTCTCTGATGTCTCCAGAGTGTGTATGCGAAGTTTTAGCTCAAAATACCCCACAGATCGTTTTTTATAGCTTGTTTAAGTTGCCACATTTAGGGTATGAGCCAAATGTGCTGTTTTTGTCTTTGTCCCTTTAAATGCAAATGAGCTTCAAGAGCTTGCACACCGGCAACACACAACAATCTCACGCACTGAAACTGTCAGAAACTCTCAAGCGATCGACTCACGTTGCTTTCATATGCATTTTTTAACTACCATATTCCTATTTTACGATCGTTCTGGTAGCACACGAAGGCAGCGTCAGTGAAAACAGGCATATCTTTAGCAACATTAGCCTTACAGAGTGCCAAGAAGCTCAGAAAGGCAATTTGAAAACAAAATATGAAGCGCTTACTTTGTCTGAATCTGACATTCGCACACGAAGCGTTGGTATTGATCCCTCTTTCTTTAAAATTTTGATAATGTGACTGTACCTTAACACCAGCCAACACTCCTGGTTTTCTGCTAGTTCTTGCTGTTTTTGTGTGTAGCGTGCTTCATTGAATGAACTGTGTTAAGTGCAATCACTGTCCTTGAGCAAGAAATCCAGTCTCCGCTTACTCCAGGATGATTTCCACCGTAATAAATGCATAAAAGCATCCACTAAATGACTAGTTGAGTTAACTAGTATCTGTTGCATGTATATCAGGATCTCATTAAAAATGCTTTCTTCTCTGTCTTGTAAAGGTGGCGTTCTTTGAGGAAGAGCGAAGCATCCTGGCCCTGAACCCAAGTCCCTGGATCCCTCAGCTCCAGCACGCTTTCCAGAACCAGGACTATGTCTATCTGGTGAGTGAGTCTGGTTTAACCCATAGTAGATTTTCTCTAGGCTGCTGGAGTTTCCTCTGCTCTGAGTAATGATTTCGCGTGTGATTATGTGATCTGACCCAACTAATAGTGTAAGTCTGTTCTTTAAAAGAGATCTGATGCAACACATTTCCAACCACAAGTTACTGTAAATGGAACTGCATGAGTATCAGAACTTCCTTGAACTTCTTGGATGGGAATTATATACAGAAACTGAGATTAATGTTTTCATTTAGCCAAAAGTAAATGATGTGATTATGTAATCTAACTCACCTAATAATAGCGTAAGTCTGTTCTTTGAAAAGACTGTGTGAGTGATATGTTGACATGTCAGGCTGATGAAATACTGTTCAATATATTACAATTAAATCCTAATCTAATCATGACAAACAATATGTCGTTGGAAAGGTCTAAGACTCCTAAATAGATATTTTACCACTGTTTGTTGTTAAAAGTTATGACAAGAGTGCACCTCAAAACATATACATCATAACAGGAGTTCTGACCTTTGTCACAAAAAAATGTTTTGTTTCATTTTTCCCTATCACATGTTTTAGTAATCATCATAAATTTATATATCATTTGAAAGCTTAAAACCTCAAAATTCATCCTGTGAAAACCATTTTTAAATCGGATATTGCTGTTTATTTTGTGATGGAAGTAATATTGAGAGAGAAAACATTTGTGGCAGAAAAATGCATCCCCAAAAATTAAATGGAGTTTGGGTGTCACCCGTTGGCTATTTTTGGTATAACGCCTAAACAAAATTGCATAGAAACCTCAATTTTTTTTAATATCAACTTAAAATTTGGAACACAACTTATTTAGACGGTCTAAGACTCCTAAATAGATATTTTACCACTGTTTGTTGTTAAAAGTTATGACAAGAGTGCACCTCAAAACATATACATCATAACAGGAGTTCTGACCTTTGTCACAAAAAAATGTTTTGTTTCATTTTTCCCTATCACATGTTTTAGTAATCATCATAAATTTATATATCATTTGAAAGCTTAAAACCTCAAAATTCATCCTGTGAAAACCATTTTTAAATCGGATATTGCTGTTTATTTTGTGATGGAAGTAATATTGAGAGAGAAAACATTTGTGGCAGAAAAATGCATCCCCAAAAATTAAATGGAGTTTGGGTGTCACCCGTTGGCTATTTTTGGTATGACGCCTAAACAAAATTGCATAGGGGGGGGGTTGGCAGTTAAGAGGTTAACAAGTGCAGTTTTCTTTCTTGGGTTGTTGCATGTTCCTTATGCAACAGGAAGTTTGAGTGGCACATATCAAAGGATTTATTGTTTAGATTTGTGTTGGTTCATAGATGTAGATGAAACTAGGAAGATGTTTTTTTTTTATTTTTTTTTTACATCCATCCATGATGCACTTCACCTTTAAAAGGATAGAAAAACATGATCCGACTGCTTTATTTAGCTAAAACTCCCTTTGTGTCAGCGGCGGGGTGTAACAGGGCGCTTTGTCTGTCTTTCTAATGGATGTTTGTAATCATGGCGGGTGACAATACAGCGAATGGTCACAGTGTTCTCGCCCTGCTCCGTACAAACCGTGCCTGCGTCTTTCATCTGTAGAGCTACAGTCTGACCTGAAGATGAGGACATGAAGTTTACTTCACAGTTTAGATTCAGAATTATAGAGAATATTTCCTGTAGAGAGAGACATGCGAGTTAAAAACAGCTCTTACGTCATCAGACGCGACACGTTTCCATTCACATGTTAATGGTGCACGAGGATCAGAACTTCCTTGAACTGGATTTATGGGGTTACCAGTTAATAATAATACTTATATATTTATATTTTATATACCTTAAGGTCACTTTTTGAATACATAAAACGTAAGACAAATACATAATCCAAGCAAAACAAACAATACAGAGGCAGAAACAAGAAACAATTTGATGTGGGAAATGCGACAGAATTTTGTTAGTGATGCACCGAAATTAGCTATTTTCACTGAAACGAAATAAAAGTTTTATTCAAATTTAGGTAAAAATAAATTTTCAGTAATTCAGTTTGGGTAAATGAACTCGAAATGCTGTTCAGTAAAGTCCTTTGGAAACACTCCTCCACTCTATTTCAGCTGAACAAATTTTACATATTGTTATTTTAGCATAATGATATATTTATTAGTGCTGTCAAACGATTAATCGCATCCAAAATAAAAAATTTTGTTCACATAATATACAGTATGTGTGTGTACTGTGCATATTTATTATGTATATATAAAGACACACACATGCATGTGTATATATTTAAGAAACATATGTAATGTTTATATATTAAATATATTTATATATAATTTAAATTATCTGAATATAAATATATACATGTAAACATTTTCAAAATATATACTGTATATGTGTGTCTTTATATATGCATAATAAATATACACAATACACACACATATACCGAGTAAACAAAAACTTTTATTTTGGATGCTATTTTGCACTAATATTAATATTATATAATATTATTAATAAAATATTTAAATTTTCAATTGCCAAAACTTCAGTGCATAACTATCAGTTAGAAAAAAAAACCTCATGTGCAGTGTTTCCCCTAGGTTTACGGTTTATCAATGATCTATGCTAAGCTACAGCTAAAAGTGCTGCCGCCAGACCCGGAGATCGGCTGAATGGATTCGAAAACGGTAAAACTCAATTGTTTAACTCTAGGGGAGTTGGAAAATGATCCTATTTTAAAAAATAGTGGCGTGATCCTTTAACTTGCTCAGCAAGTGTCTCTTCAAACTGTAGTGGAGATATTCATACTTCCATAGTTAATCTGCAGCAGTTATAGCACAGTGTATGAAACTATATTAATAGATGCCTTTGCATTCACATACTTGTATATTTACGACTATATGTGACCCTGGACCACAAAACCAGTCATAAGGGTCAATTTTTTGAAATTGAGATTTGTACATCATCTGAAAGCTGAATAAATAAGCTTTCCATTAATGTATGATGGTTTGTTAGGATAGGACAATATTTGGTTGAGATACAACTATTTGAAAATCTGGAATCTGAGGGTGCAAAAAAATCTAAATATTGAGAAAATCATCTTTAAAGTTGTTCAAATGAAGTTCTTAGCAATGCATATTACTAATCAAAAATTAAGTTTTGATATATTTACGGTAGGAAATTTACAAAATATCTTCATGGAACATGATCTTTACTTAATATCCTAATGATTTTTGGCATAAAAGAAAAATGTATAATTTTGACCCATACAATGTATTGTTGGCTATTGCTACAAATATACCCCAGCGACTTAACACTGCTTTTGTGCTCCAGGGTCACATATGTTTGTTCAGGGAATCCCTAATTTTATTAAACCGCACTTATAATTACAACATTGTCTGTTTGGAATCAGTGTTACAGTATTATTAATGTATGTTTTAGTGTAATATTGCACAGACAGTGATTACGCAGTATCTGTGGGGTGTTGTGGAGGCTTTCCAGCTTCTCATGAGGGCAAACACATGAAGCTCCAAGTGACTAAAGAGATTGTTTTCTACTTCTGCCACCTCCCTCGTTCCAGACGCCCCCAGCAAAAGAGGGGGGAAAAACAGAAATCTGTCTTTACCCGAGCGATGCGCTGAAAAGACCCTCGCTAGCTTGTTGCTAGGATACCTGGGCTTGCCGTTCGTGTCCCGCTGGCTTTGCTTTCCATTCATGTTCTCTTGTCTGTGTTTGTGTGGGCGTGTGTATGTGTGTTTTCATGCACCGTTCTGTGTGTTTGTGTGTGTGGTGCTGGTTTGCCCCAGAGCCGTCACACAGGGGCAGATCTCATCCTGGAGCATGTGAGGAGCGTGTTTGAGCTTTAGTAACGGTGTGGAGGGAAGTTTCAGATGAAGAGCGCAGTCGAGGGACTCATTATTATAATTTTATATATTTATATTCATAATATTAAATATACAAAATATATTATAATTTGAGATATATATAATAAATAAAATTATAATTATATAATTATTTTGTTATAAATATGAAATATATACAATATATAAAATACAAATGATAGTTTTATAGAAATTTTATATAAAAAATACATTATTTTGTCATGAAAAAATATTTAATGAAAAATGTGTGCATTTTATCTTTTTCACCATTACTAGCAGTTTTGTCTCTTATGTTTCATCAGAAGGTAGTGTACTTATTTACCCAGGACACGGAGCTTGAGAAACATGAGACGTGATGTGTGATGAAAACAGTATTATCATTGTGTCATTGAGACAAAGGAAAGGAATCAGACATTTTATTCCAGAAATGCTTCGAATGTCTTTTCCACCACAGAATGTGATCAAATACAACAAATCATCTGAGCTGTGGTGGAAATGTTCTCGAGATAAAGGAGAAAAATGACAGAATTGCTGTGTGTCGCATGTAAACGCACTGGACGTTGTTAGTAGATGAATTAAAGCAGTGTGTGAAGTGTGTTTTAATGAGAGAACGAGTCTTGTATAATCTCTCGGGAATTTCGGGACATAATTTTAATGATTATGATCACTTTCATGTTCTATTCCAGTAAAATGCTATTCTGCATTTATTAAAATGTCTTATTGATGTATCAGTCAGACGAGACTCTGCCGATGCTCAATTAGAGATGCAGCGCTGCTGTAAATCACCAAATAAGCACAATAAATAATTAACCGTTTACATTTGCATACATTCATTCTTGTGCTGGAGTCTGTGAGGTTCATACATCAGAAATCTCTCGGTTTACGTGTTCAGATCTATTATAGAGTAATTAATTTGAGCCTGTGGTGTGGTTTAAGGCTGATATTGTGCCTATAAATAACCACGCAGTCATTCATATACTGCTCTCTGTGCTTTTCTCTGCTGTTTTTCTTTGGGTTTGCACATACGCCGCTCTCTCAAGATGCAGTTTTTAAGCTAATTAGCTAATTAGAATGGTAATGGTGTAATCACAAGCTTTTATTTATTATGTGTATGTGTGATCGAGACGAGTGGCTGCTAATTAAACCAACTGGACGGAGATGTTTTGTGCAATAATAGATTCACTTACAGGTGTTTATTATTACGCAAGATCACGTTGTGAGGTCTGCTGTACACCTGATGCTCAGTTACTGTAAACTCGTTATGTGCTCATTACATTCACTTCTGAGGCACTCGGACTGTCATTTCATTGGATAAAATGTCAAAACAAGTGTCATTTATAAAGAAAGATTGCACACTTTACAAAACAAAACATTTGTAAAAGAGGTTTTAAAATCAAAACCCTAGCTGATTAAATGCAAAAGTGATGAAGAAAAATCTTGTAGCATTTATTTAGTACTTTGCTATTTCTAATGCCATGATATTTACAATTTTTTTTTAAGTTTGACTGAAGTGCCCAAAAACTTTTGAGAGCTGAGAATTTTTTTTTTTTTTAATGTTTTTGACTGAATTTATTGCATCAAATGCTGTTCATGTGTTCATGTTTTGTCCAGGTGATGGAGTTTCTGCCCGGCGGTGATCTCATGGCTTTGATGAACAGATATGAAGATCAGTTAGATGAGTCTATGGCTCAGTTTTACCTGGCGCAGCTCGTGCAGGCCATTCACTCGGTCCATCAGATGGGATACGTGCACAGGTACAACGAAACACATACTATTATCTTTGTTAAATAGCAAAATCCTTTAGTTTGTCCCAGCCATTACCATGATTTACTATTTTCTATTGCTAGAAAGGTATTACACATTCTCTTTCTGTTGAACATTTGACTGATGTTTGTTTTTGTGTTTATTTTATTTTTCCTGGAAGAGAGGATTTGTAAATGTGTTGTCCTGCTAAAAGTTAATTTTAAGACTTCAGTTTTAATTTCATAGACTTAACAGAGAGATTTATTTAATTTAATTTAATTTAGTTTTAATTAATTTTAATTTAATTTAATCTTATTTAATTTTAATTAATTGTATTTTATTTAATCTTAATTAATTTAATTTAATTTTAAATTAAATTAAATTAAAATTAATTAAGATAAAATTAAATAAGATAAAATTAAATTAAAATTAATTAAAATTAAATTAAATTAATTAAAATTAAATTAAATTAATTAAAATTAAATAAGATTAAATTAATTAAAATTAAATAATTAAATAATTTCATTTCATTACATTTTCATTTCATTTTAATTATTTATTTATTTTATTTTATTTTAAAGGTTAGTAAAATCCCCTAGTAAAAAGTAGAGGATTTAGTTCTTACTAAATCCTCTCGTTCTTGTTTCTGGTCATCATTCATTTCTGCTTCTCTTTCTTTTGTCAGAGATATTAAACCAGAGAACGTTCTGATCGACCGGACGGGTCACATTAAACTGGTCGACTTTGGATCGGCAGCCAGACTGACTGCTAACAGAACGGTAATGAGTGTGAAGACGTCATTCTGATGTCAACTTATTCAGAGAGGAGCCTTTCGATCTGTTCAGGAAGGACCGATCATGTTTGATATCAGTTGAATGTTTAAATGTGGTGTTAGTGGACAATGTTACACATCCACTTTAAACCGTCAGAGTTTGGACACAGATTAATTGAACGGTGTGTTGTTATCTGGGGCAGGTCACATGCTCCAAACTCCCGGTGGGCACTCAAGACTTCCTGGCCCCTGAGATCCTGTCCACGCTCAATGGAGGGCCGACGTGCAGCTACGGCCCCGAGAGCGACTGGTGGTCCCTGGGCATCATCGCTTATGAAATGATCTACATGAAATCGCCCTTCGCTGACAGCACGTCCACAAAAACCATCAACAACATCATGAACTTTCAGGTGAATCTAGCAGCTTCTGCTGAGGGTGTGATGTTTGGAAGTTCAGTCTGAATTACACTATTTGTCTTCCAAGATAATAGTTGCTTTAATGAATAGGTTCAAAACACGGATTCACTGATTAGTTTGCATTCCAGAATTTTTCATTTTGCTGTTGTTTAGTAAAAATATGTGGTTTTATAATGCATATATGTATAATGCATAGGGTTGCAAAGGGGTGGAAAATTTCCGGAAACTTTCCAAAAATCCCTGGAATATTCCCAGAAAAAAATCCTGGAAAGTTTCCAAAATTTCTGGAATATTTCCGAAATTTACTGGAAATTTTCCAACTTTTTGCAACCCTAATAATGCATGATTCCATATGATTTTCCTTTTATTTATTCAATGATAAACAATGGGAAATCATGCCAGCATTATGTTTAACTTTGAATAATTATACTATTTTACTTGTTTCATAATTTTTTTTTTTTTCAGTTTCCTGGAAGTGAGACTTAATTCTAAATGTGTTTAAATGTGTTCATTTGAAATTTAATGAATAATCTAGCATATGCTTGACACCAGTTTTGATTTTATTTTATATTTCTTTTTAGTTTTGTTTTGTTTTACTTGTTGGAATTTTCAATTAAATATTTTATATTTAAAACCCAACTCTGAATGCAAAAATTGATGTTCTCTTGCTTGTGTTTTGCTGCCAGCGTTTTCTGAAGTTTCCAGAGGAACCCAAAGCCAGCGCTCAGTTTGTCGACCTGCTGCAGAGTTTGTTATGTGGATCGCGGGAGCGTCTGGGATACGAGGGCCTGCGCTCACATCCGTTCTTCTCCTCCGTCGACTGGACCAACCTGAGACACGGTAAGACATTCGGTGCTCGGAGTTAAGTTCATTCGTTCTGAAGCACAATAAAGCCGCGCTGCCATCAGAGGCCTCGTCAATGTGTCTGCAACGTAATATTTCCATGTACCTGTTAATTACAGGTTATTAATCATTAGCCTGACTTGCTGCTATTTCTGTCGCCTTTAGTGATTACTTCTCTGGTGTAATTGCAGGATTTGTTATAGTGGGCTGGGATGTGTCTGAGTGCACAGATTGCTCTGCAGGTTTAAGTGAAACACAGATGATCTGAAATAATTCATTAAGCCTGTGGCATAAAGCTCAGAGTTTCTTCTATATCTGCTTTAAGACTTTAGGATTGTTAGCTCGGGTTGGGCAGCATGAGCATTATCTTGAATCACAGATTTAGTACTGCTTTATTACAGTAAATATATTGCAGTAGTGCTACCATGTGTAGTGATGTGCGTACTGTATATATAGCACTGGAAAATCAGTTGATATCATATCATATGACAGCATTTGCAGTCACACTCTGATAACAAACTATGTTTATTGGAAAATAAAAAGCCATCATATGTTTATTAATGCATTAATTTACACACACACACACAGACACACACACACACACACTTGTGATCCTCTGGGGGGCAGCGGGTGGATTTCTGTGGAATTAGTCAGATTATGGAGTATGCAGGTGTTCTCACAGAGAGAAGGGCTCAGATAGTCACACAGCCAAACCCTAATGAGATAACACCACATGAGCACTCACACACACACACACACACACTCACACTCACACTCACACACACACACACACACTGATTCAGTGAGGATGTTCAGTCCGTGATTCAGAACAATGACTCTTGTGTTTGATTCAGACTGATTCATCATCTGTTTGACTGATTTATTAAAGAACTAGGCCTCTGCTGACTGATGTGTTTACGAACAGAATGGCGTTTTGCTTTGCATAGCCTATTGTTTTTTTGCACTCAGCAAAGTAGGGGTGTAAGAAAATATCGATACACGTGAGTATTGTGATATTTTGTTTGGCGATACTGTATTGATTCTCAAAAACGCAATATCGATATTTAAAAAAAAAAATCATACAAGATTCATGGCAGTTGTTTTGTTTTGAGTTTATATCCCAACAGCTAGATAGCAGTCTTCTTATTTCTGAACTCGGTGTACAAAGCTGAAGTGTGGCATTATTTCGGCTTTTGTGGTAATGTCTGCCCCGGGACCAGAGGTCGCGTTAACCGGAAATTTTCCGTCGTTGACGGAATTTTTTTAGCAGTGATGGAAAAATCTGAAGGCCGTCTGTAACTTTGACAGATTACACTGAGGGTGAGCTATTGTAATTTATAACTGTAATTCCCACCCCTGTCCAGTTGGTGGCGAGTGCGCTCCAGTGTGGCAGCAGAGCACGGAATCATCAGCCTCCAGAACAAAAATAAAACTGTCACCAGTCTTTTGCTATGCCTTTGATTACGTACAGGTGAGTACCCACTAGTAAAGCGAAAGAGATGATCAGTTCATGTGCGCTGCCACTTCGCTGTGTTCGCGTTTCATATCAAAAGTAACAACGCACAGAGCTTAGCCCATTGCGATTTACTGGATGGGAGGCGCACTATATGTACTGTTCATTCATCAACTAAAAACAGAATCGATTGGGGTTTAAGAATCGATATTGGTTCATAAAAATTAGAATCTATTAAAATAGAGAAATCTTTTTTTTTTTTACCCAGCCCTAGCATGTTTTGTTGTTTTTAGTGGCCTCCGCTGTCACTGCGGGGTTTGGTGTTGAACATGAAAAGTGAAGCACAGTCTCTGTTCACCTGTTCTCTTCATAAATACATAAATGCATAAGCCTATATGCTCGTCCTGTAGGTTCATTATTAAAAATGAAAATGTGAAAATGTTTTGTGTAGTGTTGTGATCTCGGCGATTCCATGCGGAACATAAATACAAACAGAAAAACATGTGAAATCCAAGTTAAAAGGTTCTGAGAATGTTCAACATCTTTATATATTTTATTGTTTTACAATTGTTTTGCTTTCTTTAGGAATCCTGCAAGCACTTTACTTTTCATTGATGTTAAGCAGATGTAATTCTTTTGTTCCGATAAAAATGTTATGACATTGTATGTTACAATTGTAATCTTAAACTGTGAACCTTTTAAAGCGGGGTCTAAAAATATATATGGTCTGTTTATAAAAGCTTACATTTTATACATTTAACTAAAGAATCCTGCAAGCACTTTAATTTTTCCCCCTTTACTCGTACTGCACAAAAAGTGGTTCAATAACGTTGAATGTTACAGGGACTGATTAATGCAAATGCAGATCCCACTGTGTTCTGGTTAAATTTTTTTATTTATTTTTTTTGCTAAGATGGTGGTGTGTTCTTAATAACAGCTTTCCTAAAATCATATCCTATTCCTAAAATAAGAAATATCCCAATATATCGCCTTGCTTACAGTATTGCAATTAGGGGTATGCCGGTATCAAATTTTCATGTTGCGATTAATTGCCTTTTATATATATATATATATATATATACATAATTATGTATATAATTATTATACAAAAATTATTAAAAATGCTAAAAATAATTGTATGCAGTAAAACTTTTTTGTTAAACCGTTTTTAATCATTTGTTATAGCATCTAAAACATACTTTACCTTATATAAATGTAAATGTTTTGACCTGAAATATTCATGTTGACAGCAAAAAACTGCCCTATTTATTTGCAATCATCTTGCTCTCTAGATACATTTTGATCACTTATAAAATTAATATTGTTTGGCTGCTACCACATGAAAAATATAGCTAAAAATAAAGACAGTTGTTATTTCTGTGCATCTTATGTGATTATGGTTGATTGTATGTTGAATTGACCTGCAGCTCAAAGGCTTATTGCAATCATAATGTCATTTTGTCAGTTTCCTGAGATAAATCGAGATGATTAACATATTCAGATGAGCTGATGAACCGCTCTGAGTGTGTGCTGAAATCATCACGTGGCTCATGCAGTCGATGTGCTCGTGCCACTGATGTAGTGTTTGTTAGATCCTTCTGTGATTTGTTGTTGTTGTTGTTGTTGTTGTTTTGATGTTTTTTTAGATAAATAAACCAATTGTGTAAATGTTTGAACAAAAACCCCCCAGCGGCAGATACTGTGTGTGTGTGTGTGTAGTTTTTGTTTTTGATTTGTTTTATTTCGTTAAGTAGTAATTTAAAGCTTTCTATAGATATATTTATCACGTCTGTGAGGCATGTATTCGCTGAGTTTCGGACCGGTTCATTTTTGTGAAGCGCTCCTGTTCAAGAAGAGACTGCAGAAAGCGCATCATGTTTGTTTTCTTATTTGTTGTTGTTGTTGTTTTGATGTTTTTTTAGATAAATAAACCAATTGTGTAAATGTTTGAACAAAAACCCCCCAGCGGCAGATACTGTGTGTGTGTGTGTGTCAATACAGCTGTTTGTGCAGATGCTGCTCTGTGTGTGTGTGTGTGTGTGCGAGCGAATCTCGCATCGGGTTTTGGCTGTGACTCACGCTGATTAGCCGAGACTGCTGCAGTGAGAGAGAGAGACAGAGAGAGAGAGAGTGGGCGAGCGAGTTATTGCGCTACAGTCTGATCACTCACTCTCTCCAGTCTGTTTTTCTCACCGACCACCTCACAGGTTTTCTCCTCTCATCTCCTCCAGCGCTCCCTCCATTCGTTCCGTCTCTGCGTTCCGAGGATGACACCTCCAATTTCGAGGAGCCTGAGAGGCCCCCCCGCCCCGCGGCCGCTGCCCAGCGAGATCATCCTCGCTCAGGCTTCCACGGACGAGACCTGCCCTTTGTAGGGTGGTGCTTCAGTCGGGCCCTGAGCGCACTGGCCAAGTCTGAGTGAGTACACACACACACACGCACGCTGATTTTACTAGTCTAGTCACAGGTGGTCCATTGGAGCGGAGACGGCCACATCACCACGGCGACTGTCACCAGGCAACATTGTGGCTGAATGCGAGGTATTGCTCGTGTGGGGAAAGCTGCGGTTCTCTCACTTCACATGTCTTTAAGATGAATGAGAGGGAGCCGATTGTGCGCACCGCTGTTTTTATATCAGGAGACGCAGAATATCTCATGCATGTGTTACCATGTGCATGCAGGGGAACGGGAAATCCTCGTCTGGCGCATGTGTGTGTGTGTGTGTGTGATATGATCTGTAGCACAATGAAAGCCAGTACGTAAACACTGTGTAACGTGATCGGCTCTGTGTTTGCTGCGATGTGGTCAACCTTCAGTCTGTTTGTTTTGGTTTGCATTTGCGTCTGATCGTTCGGTTTGGTGTTTTGATCGGTAAATCTCGCAATAATCTGTTAAGAACATGTCTGGGTTGTGTTTCATCTCTGAATCAGAAGAAAAGCATGAAAACCATATGCTCATTACCATAATGCAAAAAAATTCTCATTACAGTAATACTTTTTCCATTTTATATTTAATTTCTCCCAGTTCTTTATTACCATAATGTAAACATTTTTTAAAATTTTATTTTATTTTTCATCTCCCAGTTATCATTACAATAACAATTCTCGTTACTATAATATTTTTTTTATTTATTTCCCCTTGAATTCTCTTTGCCATAATACAAAACTTCTCATCACCGTAAAAAACAATATTGTTTAATTAAATTTTTCCCCAATTCTCATCATAATGCAAACATTTCTCATTACTATAATGTAAATTTTTCCCCAATTGTCATTTCCATAATGTAAAACAAATTCTCATTACTGTAATGGTTTTTAACATAATTTATTTCATTTTTATTTATTTGACCCCAGTTCTCATCACTATAATGCAATAAAAAAAATCTAATTGCTGTAATGTGGAAAACCATTGTAAAGTATTTAAACATCATTGGTTGTGGTTGTGCTTTAATTTGTTGATTTTAATCACAATAACTGTATTGCAGTAATGAGAGTGACTCGAAAGTAAAACATCTGGATGCATTACAGTAATGTGTGTGTGTGTGTGTGTGTGTGATGTGCTGCCCAGTGTTTCCCTGTGTCTCTAAATGCATTCAAGCGTGTTGTATGATCATGATGTGTCGAATCAAATGAAGGTCTCGGTCAGGAATCTGATCCTAGATGAGCCATAAATATCACGTTTTTTTCCCCCCCAGGAACTGAAGGGAAAGGGAAAAAGAGAGGGTGAGGTGAAGCTTTATAAATGTTAGTCAGAATGAGAATGAACCCAGAATGCATTTCTATGGTAACCAGAGTGAGTTTTCTTCCCACGCTCCCCCTCCGTCTCTCTCCATCCATTCATACGCTTCTTCTCTCTCTAATCCTGAAATGCGTATTTGTCCAGGCGTGTGTCATGTTGTTGCAGTCTTCTTCATATAGCATTTCCAGCACCATGAAATCCGCCGCATGCAACACAAGCGGCTCCAGCAGAGGAGCGTGGGAATGTTAATGCAGAAGCGCAGCTGCTGATTGGTGGATGGGCTCCTCTGGAGATGCGTTGCGATATGAGAGCGCTGGATCCGTCTTGAGGCAAACGGAACATCTGTAATGAGCGAAAACCAGTCGTAAACCGCCCTCACTGACGCACGCTTCAGAAATGCATGCATTGTGGCATGATGCATGCATCATGTACCGCACATCTCTTTCATAAACGCACAGACATGCATTCTTTTTGTACTGCACTTGCATTATCAGGCAGTGCAATAGATAAACATCTCAGGTATCTTAGGATTGTTGATTTACAGTCCAGACGTGTCTGATCGGGTTGCAGTGGCGCTATTGTGATGTGTGGACTCCCCTCACATGCAACCTTTGTGTGTTTGCTCACTAGATCTGTCGTGCCAAAGATGTTGTGTGTCTCTTTCCTTATTAACAGATTCACCAGGACAAGATCTGTCACAGTAATTGGGTAAAATGTCTGGTGAAATGTGCATTGGAAATCTGGAAATATAAGGGAGTTTTAAAAGTGAAGCATGTTATTTCGGTCAAAAGCAAGCAGCACGGACTCATTTTGCTTTTCGCACAGGACGCATTTGCAGTCCGCTCCTGATCCGCGGCTGTTTTGGAGCGCACTGCCGGACCGCAATCGCATGCAGTGTGAACGCTCTGATCCGTTAACATGGGCGCGGAAAAATACGCACCACAGATGGAGTGTGTGAACCTGGCCTTACGTTTGTTTGCCCGCCCGGTCTGTTCTGTTCTCGTGCTCCATTTAGGCGCGCTGCATTCTGATTGGTTCGGATAGCATACTGCGGGAGGTCGGGGGCGCGGTAAAATCGTGCTATAACGCGATTTAGAAATCGCGCAAGCTCAAATCGCGATTTTATGACGATTTCGATTAATCGCACAGCCCTAATTTACACACTAGTAAATGTTGTTCAGATACTGAATATGATGTGCACAGCGCTAGCAATGCCAAGGTCATGGGTTCAATTCCCAGGGAAATACATGAACCGATCAAATGTAAACTTGAATCTAATGTCAGTCACTCTGGATAAAAGCGTCTGCTTAATGCATAAATGCAACTATATTAATCCCATTGATTTGAAACTGAAATACAAATGTAAGCCGCCTCTATATATCTGTCAGCGTTGACAGTAAAATCAGCCAACATTTGTCACTGACAACTAATTGACTCCCAAAACAAAGCAAAAGACAACAGCAATCGCTGCGCACTCTTTAGTCGCATTTAACATTTTACCCCATTGTGTAGTAAAAGTGCATTAATGATATGATGAATGTCATGCTGAAGTGTCTCTGGAGAGACGGCTTGTTTTTGGTTGAGTCAGTGCTCTAATTGCTTGGATAATTCAAAGACTAACTGGTTTGTCAGTAAATGAATAGTTTGTCCAATAATGAGATATTGTCCTCATTCTCTTTCCCTCATGTTGACATTTGTCTGTTCACGCAGTGTTTTTCCATACAGTGACCAGGGGCTGTTCGGCTCCTAAAGCATCTTTATGGTTTGTAAATGATGATAGAATTATTATTGTTGGCCGACGTTGAGCGACGTTATCGTGTTTCGGTTCCAGTAGGAGTTTTCACGGCTTCACGTCGACAAACCCTCTGATTATCTGAAGTATTTTGATACTGTGCTTTATGATTCTGACCGTATCTGATCTGGAAACAGTGATAGGATGGTTTTCTTCTATTCTTCTCTTAATATGTGGATGGCTGCTGACATGTTAGACACGTTTTATCACATGGGTTTAAAGTACGTGACTCACTCCAGCCACCCCAATCACTTTGAGTAGATTTGTTTTTTTGCATGCTGATTTAAAAACATACTAGTGTTTGCAATTGGTTTGAGGTCTTATTGCAGTTATCATGAATATGATCGTGTCCTGGCGATTAACATCGAGCTTAGCAAATATGAATTCTCAGCTGTCTGATCAAGTATTTAGCAGGTAAGTGTAGTTCCTTTTTGCACGAGGTGACAGTGAATATTCATGACATATTTAAATTGTCAAATATTTTTCCATTGCAGTTATAATATACATTCTTAAACTTTACCAAAAAAATGTCCCCCCAAAATAAACAATAAATAAATAAATAAATATACTAACTACATTATAATACATTATGCATTTAGGCTTCCAAATAAAAGTATTATAAGTAGCAAATAATTTAATTATTTATTAAGTATTGTGCTGATTCTAGTGCACTTTTTATTTGTGACCCTGCAGCACAAAAGCAGTGTTAAGTCGCTGGGGTATATTTGTAGCAATAGCCAACAATACATTGTATCGGTTGAAATTATCCATTTTTCTTTTATGCCAAAAATCATTAGGATATTAAGTAAAGATCATGTTCCATGAAGATATTTTGTAAATTTCCTACCGTAAATATATCAAAACTTAATTTTTGATTAGTAATATGCATTGCTAAGAACTTCATTTGGACAACTTTAAAGATGATTTTCTCAATATTTAGATTTTTTTGCACCCTCAGATTCCAGATTTTCAAATATTGTCCTATCCTAACAAACCATACATCAATGGAAAGCTTATTTATTCAGCTTCAGATGATGTAGAAATCTCAATTTAAAAAAAAATTGACCCTTATGGCTGGTTTTGTGCTCCAGGCTCACATTTGTCCTGTAAGTTTCCTGAAGATTGTGTGATTTTTGCTTGTCTTGTGTCTTATGTGAGTGTTCAGATGTTTTAATAGTGTCTCTCATTTAAATGTAAGCAGCAAAAAACATGATTAGAGTTCAAGATTAGAATCAATTCAAACTGTCTATTTTCTGTAATTTTTTTAGTATATTGGGTGCTTGTATGTGGCAATCATTAAATATCATTCCTTGTTCATTTAGTGAAAAAAGTGTTATTTTCAGAGCAAATGTTCAAAGACCAGTGCAGTTCATCAGCTGATTCTGTGTGTGTGAAAGTCCTCGTTCTTCATGAACGCTATGAAATCTGTATCGGTGGACGGTCACTTAGATGCTCCCTGCCAGACTTGTTTGCCTGACCTTTCTCGATGTGATCGATGCAGCGCAGCGTGTGTGAGTGCCGCGGGTTGACAGCGTCGCCGCAGGACGAACAGTTACCGAACATAGGCTGTGAGTCAGCCTCGTCTTTGTCCGTCAGCTGCGCTATGAATAGCCAATGTAGGAATGCATCAGCGCTCCAGCAGATCGATAGCTGCTGTATTCACAGAATGCGTAAGTGTGTTTACATCCGCCGCAGATGCCCAGAGTTAGTCAATGCGACTGCCGCCCACTTCAGGCGAAAAGAGCAAGACGCTCTGACGCGCTTGTGCAAGTTTGCCTTGAATTATCAATAGCTCGATATCAATGCTGTAATAATTGAATTCCACCTGAAGCCTAATGTGAAATGTAATTCTCAAAGGTCAAAGATATTTTCCCATTGCAGTTTATAT